TAGCCCCATTTAACACAAGAAGCAACTGAGGCTCCATGAAGATAAGTGACTAGCTTGAGGCCAGAGTCTAACAAGTAGCAGAGCTAGGAGCCCCCCTGCCAGAATCTTTGGATCTGAGCTCTGCACCAGGCAGGGTTACTTAATCTTTCTCCTTTTACTATTGGCTGGGAGGCTGGTGCAGGTTTGCACCAGACTATTTACTGATTTATATAAAAATGAGGAAAAATAAGGAGAAGAAAGCAAACCTTTTAATAAAGCTAAAAGATTCAATTTAAAGGCTTTTACTCTGAAATTCTTTCAAATTATTTTAGTTAAAATATCCTTTTTATAAATGAAATGATGGTGGAAGTAGCAAGTGATGTGGGTTACTGTTGCTGTTTTTATTGGCTGTACCTGGCAAAACAGAACAAAACAAAACTGGCAACTCCACTGCACCCTCCCAATTTGGGAATCATTTTTGAAATCCAAAGTCTGGGGGCACCTGGCTGGCTCAGTCAGTGGAGCATGCAACTCTTCATTTCAGGGTTGTGAGTTCAAGACCCACATTGGGTGTAGAGATTACGTAAAAATAAAATCTTTAAAAAGAAAAGAAATCCAACGTCTGGGAACTACTCCCTTAGACAATGATGCCTCCCAAAATACTAGAGGACTTTACACACACACACACCCTCAAGATTCTCTCATTAATCTCTATTCTATTTGGATCAAGACACTAAGGATTGAGAAATGAGAATAAAGTGAGTTTTAGCAATCCAAAGTCATGTGAGTTAACTGTGGGTTCTGGGGGGACTTTCCTCAGGATTCTTTTCATTGAGTAACTTTTCTCATCCTTTATCTGCAATTCTACTCACTCTAACCTGGGCTCAGACTTTCTTTTCCTAAGATAGTCACATTTTTTAATACTTCTGCTAAGTAGCAATCAATACTTAGGTCAAATAAAAAGAATTAGTTGAGGTCTCCAATAATCTGATTTTATTTAAAGCCACTCTGACAAAATAAAAACTTTTAATGATGTTTATTCTACATACTTAAAAAACAATTGGTTTTTTAATCAGACTGAAGCCACTTTAATTTCCAAATTTATGTACTTCCGTTAAATACGTTCATATATATATATACACACACATAGACATATGTATGGTATATACACACGTAGCTTTGCAAGTAGTTTATAAACAGGCTAATCAAACTGAATAAATTTCTTGAGAAGAATTTTATTGTTTATGGCAAATAAGCGATTTACTCTTTTTGTTAGCCATGTCCTATTTCTTACCTATCCTCCTTTAGCGAGCGTCGATTTTAAAATATTTTATGTACACAGCTACACAATTAAACATTAGTTCCCGTCACGACATATTATATTCACATTTAAAACTATAAAGAGATCCAGTTATTTTTAGTCTTACATAGTACATACTTAGTACACTTATATATAGTTTTAATATTCTACTTGATGTCATTTATATTATTTTATGGTACTTTATTAAAAATTTTAAAAAGAGCACAAAAACCTGGATCTTATAGGATATGTAACTGAAAATATTTATAGTCTATACTTATTGCATGGTTCAAAAACACTCCTTTTTAAAGGCAAGTCAATTTTAAAAACATAACCATACAATTTGGATAACATAAAGCATTCTTTCCACGCCCACAAGTTAAAAGGTCCAGTTAAATTTATTATAGACTATAACGTTTGCAAATCTAAAATTGTAATAATTCTGCCTAAATTCCATACTAATCTAGTATCAAAAGTTATTTTTATTTCCTTTTTTATTTAATTGTTTTTAGTTTTTTATTTCCTTTTTAAAAAAATTACTTGTAATATACCGCTGGATAGTCTTTTCACTATGTATTTATTAAACTAACTTCGGGTACAAGATACTTTTAAGCATAAAAGTCCTTTCCAATGGAAGTGAAATAAACATAAAAATGTTTGCATAAAATACACTCTGGTTCTCAAAGGGATGCTGAATCTATTAAAGTCTATTGACTTGGTTCAAAATATGCTCAACCAAAAATGTGAGCTTTTTGTCACATTGATATATTTTAACTGTTAACTAATACCTACATTTTAAACATATTGTGTTTAATGTAGCGATAATGATGACTATTTTCCCACTTAAGCAACAGGATTTTGGTTTAAGGGCAAATGAGATAGAGCTGTCTAAGTGGAAAAGATTGGCAGCCTGAAGTTTGTAAATAGTAACAAGACAAACTCCAATACTTGCTTGTTCATGTAATCACCAATATGTAGGTCAAAATAAACTAGTGAGCTATACATTACAGTCTACCTAGCAATTTACAGATCAACAGGAGGGGAAGAAACTGCTCAAATATAACCACTGTTAAGAAATGTGAAATATTAAGCATAGTATGTCTCTATAAAAATTGTAACCTATCAATTTTGAAGTCATTTCTTTCACTTTTGCTACTTTTAATGAACTCTCCTCAATAATTTTTTTTAAAAAGGCAGTCACTTTAAGATGTAAATTCCTCTTTTTTTTTCCCAAAGAAACTTGCCTAGGAAAACCTAGTGCAGCAAATAGAATGTAACAGATAAATCACTACAACATTTTTAAAAACCTAAAGCTATCAGTAAAACAAACCAATCCCTCCACTTAGGTGTGTATTTTTCATCTTCTCTCCATTATACTAATCAACAAGGTTTAAAAGTCAGTCTAATGCCCCAAACATTATCACTACACTTGACATACTCCTATTTTAGGCAAATGAAGCTTAAACTAGACCCAAAGTCTGGCCAATTCCCCCTCTCCGGCACACTGAAATATACAAGGGGGAAATCCAAGAAATCAGATATATTAAGTGCTGGTATCTTCTTCCAGAGTAGGGTCAAATTCGTGTTTGCCTGCAAATGTCACCCTCTCAAGAAGTCTGCAAATTCTCATTAGCGCTACAGAGTACAAAGAGGCCTGACCACAGAAACACCTGTCCTAGCACCGGGAAGACAGTGGGAAATGCAAACCCCCGAGTCCACGCCGGCCGCACAGCCTCCGGCTGCAGCGAGCCCGGACGAGGGATGGGCAGTGACCTCACCGCTCCCTGGGGCAGGGTCCCACACTCCCGACCCGCCTCCCCCGGCGAGAACCAGGAAATCTGTCAAGTCGGCCGGGACCCACCACCGGCGAGCCCCTCTCGCTCCTTCGCAGCCCGGCCCCAGCCTGCCCAACTGCTGCCGGTCCGCTCCGGCCTCCCGGCTGCACTCTGCCACCTCATCCCTCCTCGCCGGTCTCGCGGCCCCGCCACCTCCACCCCGGCGGCCTGCACTCGGGCCGGAGCCCCCCCGGCCGCCGCCCCCAGCCCCGGCCAGGCTCGCAGCGCCGTCGGTCCCTCCGCGGCCCGGTCCCCGCCGACCCCCCAGGCCCGAGCTCCCGCCGCGCGCTCCCCACCCCCAGCCTCCGCCCTCACCCAGCTCGGCCGCTCCCGGCCCGCTCCCCCCAGCCGGGCTACCTGGAGGCAAGGGCGGCGGAGCACTTCACCCAGGGCCCCAGGTCGCAGAGGGCCCGGTGCTCGGGGTCCCGCTCCTTCTCCCGCTCCACGTGGTAGGCGTAGATGGAGAGCAGGATCCCGGCGGCGCACACTGCATACCGGGCCACCCGCTCCCACCGCGGCACCGACACTCTCAACAGGACGGGCGCCGCCATCTTCCCCCCTCCGCCGCCGCCGCCGCCTCCTTCGCCGCCGCCGCCGCCTCCCTCCGCCTCCACCTCAGCCGCCGCCGCCCGTCGGGGCCCGACCCAGCCGCCGCCGCCACCGCCACCGCCTCCGCCGCCGCCGCCACCGCCGCCGCCGCCGCCGCGCCCCATTGGTTCTACCGCCTCCTCTGGGCCCCGCCCCCACAGGCGCGCGGCCCAACCGCCCCGAAAGGAGAGAGCCCGGCGGGGCGGGGAAGGCGCGCGCGGGCGCGGAGGGAGGGGGCGGAGCGCGCAACCGTCGGGAGGCCGGGCCGGCAGGCGGAGACAGAGGCGGCGCGGCGCGCGCAGCGGGCGGGACCGAGGGGAGGGGCGTGGTCATAGGAAAGAGGGGCGGGGCTCTGGGAGGGGCGGGTGGGGCGGGGCCTGAGGGCCTTAGGGGATAGGGTGCAATGAATAATAAATTTGAAAGATACCACCCCGTGTGACCGAGTAAGCCCTTGGCCCCTCCCCCTGGGAGATGGTGATCAATTGCCATCGTACTTTACTTTTTTGTCATTAACATTTGATATTTAAAAAAAAAAATTTTTTTTTTTTTTTAAGATTTTATTTATTTGCAAGAGAGAGAATGAGAGACAGAGAGCATGAGAGGGAGGAGCAGACTCCCTGCTGAGCAGGGAGCCCGATGTGGGACTCGATCCCGGGACTCCAGGATCATGACCTGAGCCGAAGGCAGTCATTAACCGACTGAGCCACCCAGGCGCCCAACATTTGATATTTTTTGACCCAATCCAAATTAACCCTGGCCAATGCCCAGAGCTCCAGAACCATGTTTCCATTACCTGATATTCCCCAGCACAACATCCAAGCACCTCCGAGCTCAACAAGTGCGAACTTAAATATATTTTTTAAATTATTTATGAAAAAAACAAAAAATATTTATGAATGCCTTGCTTCTCTGTAAGGTGAACTTGAGATGGCTTGACATAATTAATGTAATATAGAAAAATGTAAAAATGAACTGAAAAACCAGGACAAAGAAAAAGACCAGTCAGAATAAAAGGAAACAACAGGAGTAAGAACACAGATAAGCAGGTCATAGGGTCTTGCATAATTATTAAAATTGAACCATAAATTTGGCTCTGAGGTTCCTGGTGTGTGATTGTCACCATCTCTGAGAAGAAAGAAACACACCATTCCTGGAGATGACCAGCTTTTCCCTGGTTGCAGCTCTCAGATTTCAGGAGCTTTATATAGTGATTTTGAGTAATAAGCAATCTCCTTGTATTATCTATTGTTGGGTAACAGATACCCCAATTTTAGCAGCTTAAAACAAAAATCCCTTATTTTCTCACAATTTCTGTGTGTCAGGGATGTGGGTGCCATTTTGCTGGGTCCTCTGGCTCAGGGTCTCTCACAAAGCTGCACTCAACTCAGCCAGGGCTGCAAGCATCTCAAGGCAGGAGAATCCTTTCAAGCTCACTCAAATGCCATTGGCAGGCCTCAGGTCCTTCATTAGTTCCAGCCACTTGTACCTCTCCATAAGAAGCTGCTATCTTCCCCTAGGGCAAGGAATAAGAAAGGGAAATAGAAGCCACAGTTTTTGTTGTAATCTAATCTCAGAATAGACAGCCAATCACTTTTACTTACTCTATTACTTAGAAGCTGGTCCACACCTAAGTGTCCATCAAGGATGAATGGATAAAGGGGCACCCGGGTGGCTCAGTCGGTTGAGCGTCCAGCTCTTGGTTTCAGCTCAAGTCATGATCTCATGGGCTGTGGGACCAAGCCATGTGACAGGGTCCCACTCAATGGGGATCATATGGCCATGGTGGAGCCCCTGCACGGTAGAGCCCCGGGACCATCGAGCCCCCCAGCAGGCTCTGTGCTCAGCGGGGAGTCTGCTTGAAGTTTCTCTCCCTCTGCCCCTGCCCCTGCTCTCTCTCTCTCAAATAAATAAATCTTTAAAAAAAAAAAGGATGAATGGATAAAGAAAATGTGGTATTGTACATACAATGGAATATTATTCAGCCATAAAACTGAAGGAAATCCTATCATTTGAGACAACATTGATGAATCTTGAGGACATTACTGTAAGTGAAATAAGTCAGACCAAGAAAGACAAATACTCTACAATCTCACTTGTATGTGGAGTCTAAAAAAGCCAAACTCAGAAACAGATAGTAGATTGGTGACTGGCAGAGGCTGGAGGGTGGGGGAAATGGGAAGATGTTGGTCAAAGGGTACAAACGTCCAATTATAAGATGAATAAGTTCTGGGGGTCGAAGTTACAGCATGGTGAATGTAGCTAATAATACTGTATTATATGCTTGAAAGTTGCTAGGAGAATAAATCTTAAACATTCTCACCACATACACATACAAAAGGTAATTACATGAGGTGATGAATGTGTTAACGGACCTTATTGTGGTAGTCATCTAACAATACATATGTATATCAAATCACATGTTGTATACTTTAAACTTATACAGTGTTATATGCCAATTATTTCTTAATAAAGCTGGAGGGGGAAAAAAGATGCTAGTCTCTAGGTCCAATCCGCACTGCACAAAAGCACGGAAACCAGGAGAGAGGATTACTGGGAGTTATCTTACAGGCTGCCTACCACAGTCCTCAGAAAGATCACCACTCTTAACTCTCTAGTGGTTTCCATAAATCTGAGTGAAGTCATTCTCCTGCAACCCCCCTCCTTCTATATTCCTTTCCTGACTTGGTGAGATCCATTGATCATCTGGCTTCTTTCACTATCATTATGTCTGTGAGGTCTATCCATGCTATTGTACATAGCTATTGTTATTTTTCATTGCTGTGTTATAGTTCATTATATGAATAACCCCTATTTTACTTTATATCTTATTTTTTTGTTTCAAATTTTTATTTAAATTCTAGTTAGTTAACATATAGTGTAATACTGGTTTCAAGAATAGAATGTAGTGATTCATCACTTATATATAACACCCAGTGCTCATCATAACAAGTACCCTCCTTAATATCCGTCATCCAATTAGCCCATCCCCGCACCACCTCCCTCCATCAACCCTCAATTTGTTCTCTGTAGTTAAGAGTCTCGTATGGTTTGCCTCCCTCTCTCCTCTTTTTTTTTTTTTTTACCTCGTCCCATATGTTCATCTGTTTTGTTTCTTAAATTCCACATAGTGTGAAATCATATGGTGTCTCTTACTGACTTATTTCGCTTAGTATAACACACTCTAATTCCATCCACGTCATTGCAAATGGCAATATTTCATTCTTCTTAATTGCTGAATAATACTCCATTGTGTGTGTGTGTGTGTGTGTGTGTGTGTGTGTGTGTGTGTACGCACCACATCTTCTTCATCCATTCATCAGTTGATGAACATTTGGGCTCTTCCCATAATTTGGCTACTGTGATAATGCTGCTATAAACATCAGGGTGCATGTGTCTGTCCCTTTGAATCAGTATTTTTGTATCCTTTGGGTAAATACCTAGTAATGCAATTGCTGTATCATACGGTAATTCTATCTTTAACTTTTTGAGGAACCTCCATACTGTTCTCCAGAGTGGCTACAACCAGTTTGCATTCCCACCAACAGTGTAAGAGGGTTCCCCTTTCTCCACATCCTCGCCAACATCTGTTGTTTCCTGAGTTGTTAATTTTAGCCATTCCGACTGGTGTGAGGTGGTATCTCATTGTGGTTTTGATTTGTAGTTCCCTGATGATGAGTGATATTGAGCATCTTTTCACGTGTCTATTGGCCATCTGTATGTCTTCTTTGAAAAAAATATCTGTTCACGTCTTCTGCCCATTTATTATTTTTTTAATTTTTTATTATTATTTTTTTTTATTTGCGAGAGAGAGAATGAGAGACAGAGAGCATGAGAGGAAGGAGGGTCAGAGGGAGAAGCAGACTCCCTGCTGAGCAGGGAGCCCGATGCGGGACTTGATCCAGGGACTCCAGGATCATGACCTGAGCCGAAGGCAGTCGCTTAACCAACTGAGCCACCCAGGCGCCCTTCTGCCCATTTCTTGACGGGATTATTTGTTTTTTGGGTGTTGAGTTTGGTTAAGTTCTTTCTAGATTTTGGATATCAGCCCTTTATCAGAGACGTCATTTGCAAATATCTTCTCCCATTCTGGAGGCTGCCTTTTAGTTTTGTTTGTTTCCTTCACTGTGCAGAAGTTTTTTATCTTGAAGAAGTCCCCACAGTTCATTTTTGCTTTTGTTTCCTTTGCCTCTACAGACATGTCTAGTAAAAGGTTGCTACGGCCAACATCAAAGAAGTTGCTGCCTGTGTTCTCCTCTAGGATTTTATGGTTTCAGGCCTCACATTTAGGTATTTAATCCATTTTGAATTTATTTTTGTGTATGGTGTAAGAAAATGGTCCAGTTTCATTCTTCTGCACGTTGCTGTCCAGTTTTCCCAGCATCATTTGTTGAAAAGACTGTCTTTCTTCCATTGGGTATTCCTTCCTGCTTTGTCAAAGATTAATTCACCATATAGCCATGGATCCATTTCGGGGTTTTCTATTTTGTTCCATCGTTCTATGTGTCGGTTTTTATGCCAGTACCATACTCTCTTGATGACTACAGCTTTGTAGTATAGCTTGAAATCTGGAATTGTGATGCTTCCAGCTTGCTTTTCTTTTTCAGGATTGCTTTGACTATTTGGGGGTCTTTTCTGGTTCCATACAAATTTTAGGATTGTTTGTTGTAGCTCTGTGAAAAATGCTGGTGGTATTTTGATAGGAATTGCATTAAATGTGTAGATTCCTTTGGGTAGTATAGACATTTTAACGATGTTTGTTCTTCCAATCCATGAGCATGAACGTTTTTCCATTTCTTTGTGTCTTCCTCAATTTCTTTCATAAATGTTCAGAGTACAGTTCTTTTACCATCTTTGATTAGGTTTATTCCTAGGTATGTTATTATTTTAGGTGCAATTGTAAATGGGATTAATCCTGATTCCTTGATTCCTTTTTCTGCTGCTTCATTGTTCGTGTACAGGAATGCAACAGATTTCTGTTATGTTGATTTTATATCCTGCGACTTTGCTGAACTCATATATTAGTTCTAGCAATTTTTTGGTGGAGTCCCTCGGGTTTTCTAAATAGAGTATCATGTTGTCTGCAAATAGTGAAAGTTTGACTTCTCCCTTGCAGATTTAGATGCCTTTTATTTCTTTTTGTTGTCTGATTGCTTAGGCTAAGATTTCCAGTACTATGTTAAATAACAATGGTGGGCATCCCTGTCTTGTTCCTCTCCATAACCACAATTTTATCTATCCATTCTCTCCACTGTTGATAGACATTGACCCTGTTTTAGCTGTTATGAATTAAGTTGCTATGAACACCCTGCAAACATCTTTTGGTGGACATAAGCACTCATTTCTACTGGGAATACATCCAGGAGTGGGATTAGAGTCAGACACTGTTAGTACATACTGCCTCTGTCAGTTCAGGTCTTCCACAAAGCAGATGCCAAGGTAGGATTAGATGTGCAAGGGATTTACGGAGGGCAGTGTCTGCCAAGGATAAAGGAGAGAGGGAGCAAGAGTGGCCACGGGGGACCTCCAGACCACAGTGCAGGTCTGACCACTGGGAAAGCCCTGCAGTCTCAGCCAGCATACAGACCGTCCATCACAGGAGCTGTCTGCAAGGCAGGATGGCCTGGAACTAGTACCTCTGCCACTCACAGTCACTGCTTTGGGGCAGCCTGGAAAAGGCATGGCGTCAGCATGAACACCGCGGTGGATCCAAAGGCATGGCAGCTGGGGGCTATTGGCTGACTGGCCCCCTTGCAGGTGGCTGTCTTGAAGGAAGACCTAAGCATGGTACCACCAGGGCCACCATACTACCCCACAGCTTTCCAAAGTGGTTATACCAATTTAAACTCCCATTAGCAGTGTATGAGATTTCCTTATACTCTACATCCTCACCAACCCTTGGCAATATAGACTGTCTTATTGGATTATAGAAGTTCTTTATATATTCTGGATACAAATCCTTTGTCAATATGTGTATTGCAGATATCTTCTCCCACACTGTGTCTTTCCTTTTCCCTCTCTTGGTGGTGTTTTTTTTTGCTGAACAATAGAAGAGACTTTGAATTCCTCACATACATTCCACTACCTCTCACCTTGGAGATTTCAAACTTCTACCTATTCACAGCTTACATAGCTCTTTCTTCTGGAAGGCTTTCCCACCTCTGTTGTAATAGTGAGGACTCTGGGGCGCCTGGGTGGCTCAGTCAGTTAAGCGTCTGCCTTCTGCTCAGGTCATGATCCCCGGGGCCTGGAGTCAAGCCCTGCATGGGGCTCTACTCAGCAAGGAGCCTACTTCTCCCTCTCCCTTTGCCATCCCCCCCTCCTTGTGCTCTCTGGTTCTCTCTATCTCTCTATCAAATAAATAAATAAAATCTGTAATAGTGAGGAGTCTGGTAACACACACCCAGTTCACCAGGCCAGGGACTCAAACCCCATCAGGACTTTCTCTGCCCATCTCCCACCTCTGTGTGTTGATTTTGTCCTCTCAGGACAGCTTTGTGCATTCAGAAGCAAAAGTAACCACTGTACTTCCTCCATCTTGCATCTTTGTTTTCTCCTACCAGAAAGGAACTGCCTATCATCCCTTCAACCAATTTTTAAAATCCTGATGAAGAATTCCAGGTTGACCAGCCTTAGGTCCTGTAGCTAGAAAGAGTGCTGAAGATGGCAGCCCCACACACCCATAGAAGATTCTACGAAGGAGCAGTCCTCCCAAAGAACAAAAAAGTGCTATTCCCAGAAGCAGAAAGAGGTGACTGCACAGACAAAAGAGGAGGCTAATCCATTCATTTATTCCACAAATATTTATTGAGCACCTACTATGTGCAGGAACAACTGCAAGAGTTGGAGCCATAGTGGAGAAGACAAGCAACGGCCCTTGCCTCACAGAGCTTACGTTGTGGGAGAAGCTAGGTGAGGGTGTCCCTGTCGGGGGCTCATAGAGGAGAGCCCCTGTTGTTGTAGAGAAGAAGCCCCTCTGCTCCCAGACAGGCAAAGCTGTTCATCAGCCTTTCTACAGTACCAACAGGGAACCAAGGTCTTCCGCTAGTGGGCACAACTCTGGGAGATTGATTTCCAATTCAAGAATGTAAACGTCAAAATTTATGCACAGATGGAAACTTCATACATTGCTGGTGGGGAATGTAAAATGGTGCAGTCACTTGGAAAACAATTTGGCAATTCCTCAAAATGTTAAGCACAGAATTACCATATGACCCAGCATTTCCACTTCCAGGTATATATCTGAAAGAACTGAAAACATGTGTCCACACACAAACTTATACAGGACTGTTCATGGGAGCATTATTCCTGTGGCCAAGGAATGTTCAGTAAACAGAATGTAGTATATGCCTACCATGGAATATTACTATTCGGCCACAGAAATACTAAATACTGACACATGCTACAACATGGATGGACTTTGAAAACATACTTAGTAAAGAAGACATAAAAAGCTATACTATATTGTATGATTCCTTTTAAATGAAATGTCCAGAATAGGCAAACCCCTAGAGAGAGAAAGCAGGTTTGTGGTAACCAGGGGCTGGGGTGAAGGAAAATGTGGAGGGACTGCTAATGGGCATTCAGTTTCTTTTGCGGGGTATTTTAATGTTCTGGAATTCGATAGCAGTGGTGGAAGCATACCTATATGAATATACTAAAACCACTTTACAAGGGTGTTTTTTTATGGTATGTGAATTATATCTCAATAAAGCTGTTTAAAAAGTGTGCATAAAGAGCTTCTGCATTGTAAATTGCTCACTTAACGCCTGTCTCCACTAACTGCAAATTCCATGAGGCCAGTGGCTGGGTCTTCTCTATTCCAAGTACCTGGCGCAGTACTTGGTGAATGGGTGAATGAATGAATGAGACCTGCTTGAATGCTACCTCATTCAGGAAACCTCCCAGTCTGTGCTCCCAAAGACTCTCTCCCCATTCCCTTTCATTCGGTCCGGCAGGGATCTCTGCTGTAGCTCATCACCTTGGCTTCTGGGGCCAACATCCACGGCGACATCCCCCCCGGACCACTGCCACTACAATCCCCTGCCTCTCCACTCCCTGTGCTGGTTTTAAGGTCTATCTTTCATCAACACCTAGAGATGTGCCTTTCTTCTGCTAAGCTTGGCTGTGTGATGAAGTTTTTTTTCTGAGAACTTTTTTTTTTAATTTCTTTGACAGAGAGAGAGAGAGTGAGCACAAGCACAGGGAGCAGCAGAAGGAGAGGGAGAAGCAGGCTCTCCTCCGAGTGGGGAGCCCAACGCGGGGCTCGATCCCAGGACCCCAGGATCATGACCTGAGCCAAAGGCAGACGCCCAATGGCTGAGCCACCCAGGTGCCCCTTCTGAGAACGTTTTATCCAATATTTCCGTATTAGTATTTTTGTATTTTCTGTGTTGGCTTAATCTACCATCCAAAAATGTTTCCATAAGCTCGTTCATGACCCCAAACCTCCTTTGCTGAGTTAGAATGCTCTACTCTACATTTTTTGTTCGGGGAAGTTCACAGCAAGGATATAGTAGGTCAGTATTGGAAGCAGCTGGTCAGATATCTTTCTACAGCAGAATCTGTGAAAGCCCAGGTCTCCCAGGGCCCTTCAGGAAAATACCACTCAAAGTAAATGTCCTATTGAGAGGATGGACGTGTCAGTTTCTCATTCAAGGGATAGTGGATTCTTTTTTTTTTCTTTTTTTAATTGTTATGTTAATCACCATACATTACATCATTAGTTTTTGATGTGGTGTTCCACGATCCATTGTTTTCGTATAACACCCCATGCTCCATGCAGAACGTGCCCTCTTTAATACCCATCACCAGGCTAATCCATCCTCCCACCCACCTCCCTTCTAGAACCCTCAGTTTGTTTTTCAGAGTCCATCGTCTCTCATGGTTTATCTCCCCCTCTGATTTCCCCCCCTTCATTCTTCCCCTCCTGCTATCTTCTTTTTTTTTTTTTTAATATATATTGCATTATTTGTTTCAGAGGTACAGGTCTGTGATTCAACATTCTTGCACAATTCACAGTGCTCACCATAGCACATACCCTCCCCAGTGTCTATCACCCAGCCACCCCATCCCTCCCAGCCCCCACCACTCCAGCAACCCTCAGTTTGTTTCCTGAGATTAAGAATTCCTCATATCAGTGAGGTCATATGATACATGTCTTTCTCTGATTGACTTATTTCGCTCAGCATAACACCCTCCAGTTCCTCAAGGGATAGTGGATTCTGATATCATTTCATAACTATCAGTACAGAGGAAATGCTCATTTTTAAATACTGATGAGGAGTGGACCAGTACACATCCTATGTATACAGATGACCTGCTGACCCACCAGGTGAAGAGGCTGAGCACACATCTAAGTGCTGGACACTGTGTCAGCCCCTTGATATGACATAATTAAACTTCCTAAGATCTGTATAGGGTAAGTATCATTATCTCCAGTAAGTCTCAGAGGATTAAGTTGCCCAATTACTTAAGAGGTAGAGCTTCACACCAGGTGTTGTATGGAAGTGTTGAATCACTATGCTGTACACCTGAAACTCATACTATACTGTATGCTATCTAACTGGAGTTGAAAAAAAAAAAAAGAAAAGAGGTAGAACTTCAATTAGGACCCAGGCCTGTCTGATTCAAGTGCCCTTCCTCTTTCCACCTATGTGGCTTCCCTCTGGGAAACCACCTCTCAATTTAACCTGGATGCTCTGCTTGTTCCTAGTGGATTGTTCACTGCCTCTCCCCTTCTATTCTACTCTATCAGTTAACTAAGTTCCAAGGTCTTGTGTCTGAGTCTGCGTCAAGGTGAAAAGAGTTATTTCCCTGTGGTCTGCAGTAGGCTGAACCCAGGGTTAAATCCTGAAGTCTGCTGAGATTTCATCTGCACACGGCCATCTTACATACCACGCTGGGGCAGCCTGAGGACCCTTGGATAGGTCTTCATGGAGGTCCCTTCCTCCCAAGATCCATCGATTCCAGCACAGGTATCCTGACTGATAGCCTAAGCTTGGTCCCAGAGCTCCAATAGGAACTCTGAAGCCTGTGACCTCCCCCACCAGGCCTCATATCCCTGTCCTCCTGTTGTAAGTTCTTTACCTGTATTAACTCATTTAATCCTGCCAACAACTGTTGATGTAGGAACTATTGTTTTCTATGGTTTACAGATTGGGAAACCGAGGCTCAGAGAGGCCAAACATCACATAGCTAATAAGCTGTAGAACTGGGATTCAAGTGCCAGCAGTCTGGCTTCCATGTTCTTAGCTCCTGTGCTATGATCTAATAAGAGAAGTCCTCCCCACAGGGATTACTTTTTTTTACCACCCCCAGAACCAAAGGCAAAACTCAGAAGCTTTTACAATAGTGTTTGCCCTCTCTGCCTTCACCATACTTCTCTCAAGTCCTCAGCTTTCCTGAGGATGTCAGTGGCCATGTGATGGCCATGCAATTCCCCTGACTCATCATCCCATATCTTCCTCATGTCTGATGACCTTTACTTTGATTCCATGTAAACTGCCCATAGGAGTGGCCCTTGTGATCCTTTTGAATGGTTAGATTTCTGAATTCTTAAGTTCCAATACTCTGCATTTTGTACTTACGCTTTATGGCAGACTGCATTTTCTAAGATGGCTGCAACGAGATCCCCCATGCCACATGTTCTTCTTCATGGTGATGTTGACCCTGCTCTGGTCAGGGTGGGGTCTATGTTCCTTTGAGTCCAAGAGGGTCTGTGACTGTGGCAGAAGTGACCCTCTGTACCTTCTGAGGCTAGATCATAAAAGGTGATACTCCTTCCTCAGGGTCTTCTTGGGATGTTTGCTCTCTGAACCCAGCCGCCATGCTGTGAGGAAGCCCAGGCCGCTGCATTTAGATCTCCCAGCCAACAGCCCCAGGTCTCCTCTGCAGCCAACATTAGTCACCAGACATGGGACTGAAGAAGGCTTTGCGGTAACTCCAGCCCCAATCACAGCAACAGCATGAGGAACCCAAGCGAAAACCACCTAGCTGAATCGTCAACTCCCAGAACCATGAAAGAAGAAGAAGAAAAAAAAAAAAGATTGTTTTTTAAGCCTCTGAAGCTAAGGGGTTATACATTATGCAGCAAGAGTAACTGAAACACACTCTTTTCCTTCTAGTTCTCCAGTTCTCTTACTTACCAAACCTAGTCTCTCGCTGGAGACCTGCTGTGACCTAATCAATGTTTTCCCCATAGTCCCAGCGGGAGGTTGGCTGGGGCATCTTTCTGTCTTCATGGCCATTTCCAGACCATTTTTCATCCTGCTGGGCTACCTAAATGTCTCTGCATTCTCCCACATTCTATCACCAAGAATATTCAATCTGTGTGACGGCAGCAAGCCCTGGTTTCATAGGGTTCTCTCCCTAAGGATTTCTGAGAGTCTCTGAGGAGGCTCATATGCCCTAAAGAGGTGAGTCAATTTGCCCACAGTCCATATCCCAGCCAGCAGCAAAGACATATGACGGCTGTACCCAGCTGTCCCTGCACCCCACACTTTCTTTTCTTGCATGCACTTCCCTCACTCTATGAGGACAAGGACACTTTCAAGCTAATCAATGTGTATGCTTTCTGTTTAAAGCAAAACACATAATAAATAAACCCCTGCCAAGATGCTGAATTCCTAGTGGCATCATGTGTTAAAAGCAGTTGTCTTCAGGGCGCCTGGGTGGCTCAGTTGGTTAAACGACTGCCTTCGGCTCAGGTCATGATCCTGGAGTCCCGGGATCGAGTCCCGCATCGGGCTCCCCGCTCAGCAGGAAGCCTGCTTCTCCCTCTGCTTGTGCTCTCTCTCTCTCTGACAAATAAGTAAATAAAATCTTAAAAAAAAAAAAAAAACATGGAGAGTTTCTTAAAAAAAAAAAAAAGCAGTTGTCTTCAAACGCAACTCCTATGAAATTTTACCATTTTGTTTAAAACTTCCTAATTAGAGACTTCCCAAGATACCCTATGACCTCCTCAACAATTCACAGGTAGCCCAAGAATAAAAACTCGAAAATCATTAACAAAAGGCTTTATTGTCTTTAATAATTTTGTTGGTGATCTTCCCTTGTTTTTTAGAAGGAACGAGGCCTCTTCCGACAACCTTTTGGCCAGGAGTCACACACAGCACAAGATAAACCTCTTTTATATTAGAAATACATCTCAGGTGCCTGGGTGGCTCAGATGGTTAACCGTCTGCCTTCGGCTCAGGTCATGACCCCAGGGTCCTGGGATCGAGTCCCGCATCAGGCTCCCTGCTCAGCAGAGAGTCTGCCTCTCTCTCTCTCTGTCTCTTATGAATAAATAAATAAAATCTTAAAAGGTACTTAACCTCCCTCCACTGTAAAATGGGGACGTGCGCACCTGCCTCAGAGGGTTTGAGGAGGGTTAAATACATGGTGCCTGGCACATCGTAGGTGCTCAATAAATTTTGACTATTGTTATCTTGGTCTCTATGGAGAAAAGAAAAATGCAGCATTCTGTGAACTTAAGTTTTTCCAAAAGCAATGGCTTAAAATAAACTGCTATTTGAAGATGAAGATTATCATATTGGGTAAATGCTATCCCAAATTGAACGGATATGTATTCCAATAACTACATGAAACACGTCGAATTGTGTAGTTACTTAAAGAACATTTAACAACCTAATGTAAAATGCAGATTCCTGGGCGTCGCTTCTTACCGGATTCACAGCAGAGCAGCAGCCTGGGAATGCGTATTTTTGCCAAGCCTCCAGGTGATCCTTATGATCAGGCAAATTCAGGCAATAACATCGATTGAAGGGTTGGTGAGTGCCTGATATTCCTGGGGAGGGTGATTAGTAAGCCCCACCTGGAATATTCTCTAGGTTAAATGATATTGGTCATAGAGCAGTTGTTTTCAAATTCTGATGTTGCTTAAGAATCCCTGGAGAGGGGCGCCTGGGTGACTCAGTCGTTAAGCGTCTGCCTTCAGCTCAGGTCGTGATCTCAGGGTCCTGGGATCGAGCCCCACATCGGGCTCCCTGCTCTGCGGGAAGCCTGCTTCTCCCTCTCCCGCTCCCCCTGCTTGTGTTCCCTCTCTCGCTGTGTCTCTCTCTGTCAAATAAATAAAATCTTAAAAAAAAAAAAAAACCAATCCCTGGAGAGTTGGTAAAAATTCAGATTCTGGGTACTACCTTTAAGAGATTCAGATTCAGAGATTCAGGTGGCACTTGGGAATCTGCATTTTTTAACCAGCCCCTCCCCTCTAGGGTGAGTCTTTGAGAAGCACTGTTTTTTTTTTTTAAGATTTATTTATTTATTTGAGAGAGAAAGCACGCACAGGCGCCAGCGAGTACGCGGAGGAGGGGGCGAGGGGAGGGGCAGAGGGAGAGGAAAAGAGAGAAAATCCCCAGACTCCTCTGCTGAGCATGGATCCCACGACCCTGAGATCATGACCTTAGAGTCCGCATCCAACCGACTGAGCCACTCAGGCGCCCCAGAGAAGCAGTTTTGACTCTTGTCATTCACATGCTAGAGAGAAGCCAATCGTATTTTGTTAAAAAAAGCTCTGACTTTCCTATGTAATTTGAATATCTCAGCCCTCATCAACTTGTAGGTACAAATAAGGTCACAATAAAGTTATAACTGGATCTTGTGAATTTTGAACACCAGATGGTTATGCAAGAATCAGTTTCCCTCCCCAGGTATATCTGGAGATCTAAAAACAAGTGCTTTCGTGTATGTATGTGTTGTCTTTTTGTTCGCCAGACTGACAGCTCAAATTTCAGCCTCACCACTTACAAGCCACAGGCAAGTTGTTACTTATCTGTTCTGTATTACAAATTATCCCAAAACTTAATGGTTTAAAGCAGCAATAATCATTTTTTTAAAAGATTTTATTTATTTATTTGAGACAGAGAGAATGAGAGACAGAGAGCATGAGAGGGAGGAGGGTCAGAGGGAGAAGCAGACTCCCTGCCGAGCAGGGAGCCCGATGCGGGACTCGATCCTGGGACTCCATCCCGGGACTCCAGGATCATGACCTGAGCCGAAGGCAGTCGCTTAACCGACTGAGCCACCCAGGCGCCCCAGCAATAATCATTTTATTATTTCTCATGGTGTCTGTGGTTTCAGAAAGGCTTTGTTGGCTCAGTGTCTTTCATGTGGTTGCAATCAGACAGTGGTTGGAACTGGAACAGCAGGGAATGGAGCAGCTGGGGCTCGCTGGGTGGGTGTCTCTCCCTCCCTCTTCATGTAGTTTCGGGACCTCTCTATGTGGTCACTGCGTGTGGGTTACTTTGAGCTTAGTCATAGCATGGTGGCCCCATGACAGCTCAAAGCTGCAGGGTAAGTATCTCTGTAAACAAGGTGGAAAGTGCATCTCCTTTCTGACCCTTGGAAGTCACACTGCCTCATTTCTGCCGCATTCTATAGGTTACAAGAGATTCAGAAGTCTGCTTGGATTCAGGTGGAGGGGAACAGACCCCATGTTTCAATGGTAGGAGGACCCAAGTCACATTGCAGAATAACATGTGGGTTAGGAGATATTGCTGTGGTCGCCATCTTTGGACAATGCAATCTGCCACATGCCCTGTCCAAGGCTGAGTTGTAGAAGGAAGATGATAACAATATCTACTTAATAGGGTTGTGAGGGGGCGCCTGGGTGGCTCAGTCAGTTAAGCCACAGACTCTTGATTTCGGCTCAGGTCAGGATCCCAGGGTCCTGGGACTGAGCCCCATGCCAGGCTCCCTGCTCGGCGGGGCGTCTGCTTCTCCCTCTCCCTGAGGGGCAAATGCCTGCTGATTCCCCCAGCCACGAATGTCCATGAAAAGCAAATAACAGAATCAAATAAACAAACAACTCCCTCCCTCAGTACTAAGCTCACTTGGGGAGGCTGGGACACTATTATTTGGGCCCCAAACTGATGGAGAGTAGTAAAACTGTTTTCTTAACTGACAGACATGGTCGCTCTCCCTGGAACAAAAACACTCCTCGGATGGTTTCTGACATCAGACCCAAGGCTGTTTCCTAGGTCCACCTGCTCTTTCCTCTTTAGCCTGGCCCCACTTAAACATCTGGCTATCACACCAAGTGCCATTAGGAATTTGATAATTTCTGTAGGTCTGCTTCCACTGGTCCCAACAAATCCTTCCTACAAATTCATAGAGCTCTAAATTGTGAACAAGGTTGAAGTTGATTTTTCCCCAGGGCCCCCCCTATGTAAGTCAGTAGATGCAGATGGATACTTGGGAGGAAGGGAGCCATTTAGGCCCAGACACGGGACACGTTTAAGTACCACCACTGCCTCTTAGGATACTCTGTCAGACCAGCTGGGACCCCCTCAACCACTTGCTTGTGCAGAAAATAGCGGAAATGCTCCATGTATCTAGGAAAGAGTGTCCATGATTTCCTTGACATCCAGTACGGTGGGCAAACTGTTACCCTGGCTGGGTGAGGAGGCTGCTCCAGGAACAGATTTAAGCAGGGGTTTTGGAGGAGGTGAGGAGGGGCCGCAGCTCAGGCTGAAGGAGCAGTTCTCACAAATGTTCCCATGGGCGCTGGGGTCCACACCATGCACCTTGGTGCACAAATGCCTTGTGGCTCAGAGAAGGCTGGAGTGTCAGGTGGGGCAGTGGGAGATCCCAGGTACCCAGGATCTAAACTGCTCCTACCCTGGGCAATGTCCCACCTAAGGAGGCAGAGCTCACCTCCCACTGAAAGAGCTGAAAACACTAGACACTTGCTTTTCCCAGCTTTGCTGGAGGTGGGGTATGGGGAGACCCACCGGCCTGTGTCAGGGAGAGTAGACGCATCTCCATCTAGTGTCTTCTGGAGAGGACAGTGACAGGGTCCTAGTGTCAGTGGGGACAGGCCAGGTGTCCTGCCAGGGCATCATGGAGACGGCTTTCTTCACCGTAAGAGCCCCCAGATAGGACCTGGACCTTTGTTGCTATCTATAGAGCTTCCCATCATGTTTTCCCTGGCCATTCAGGAATTTTGAAAACTATCCAATATCCAATATTGTTGTAATAAGAAGTTCCTTTTCTTTTTAAATTAGCCCAAGTTGGGGTGCCTGGGTGGCACAGTCAGTTAAGCGGCCGACTCTTGATTTCAGTTCAGGTCATGATCTCAGGGTCCTGGGATCCAGCCTCAAGCCCCAAGTCGGGCTCCACGCTTAGCTGGGAGTCTGCCTGAGGATTCTCTCTCCCTCTGCTCTTCTCAGATAAATAAAAATTCTCTTCTCTCTCTCAAATAAATAAAAATAAGTCTTAAAAAAACTAATTAGCCTGAGTTGATTGTGTTGCTTGCCCATAAGGCTTTGACCAATACTAGCACTTTTAAACATTTTTTAACTCCAGAAGCTTCAGAGCACTGTGCTCTCAGCAGGGACGCAAGTGTCTACAAGGATATGCCACTAGCCCAGCAGGGGTCAGGCCTACCAAGGGGCTGTGGACATCAGCCAAGGAGGGGGGGTGGCGCTGGGGGATGCCCTGGGGTAGCAAACCTGCCAATTCTCAGTAGTACCAGGAAGATACCCTAGGAGACTCCCCTTAATGGTGCAAGGATGACCCTATGACAGTAGGTGACGGTAAGACCCAGAGACAGCTGGGATATTCATGACTATCAACGTGACCCTCCATCTATCTGCAGGCTAATGCAGCCCCAGGAAATCCGTTACTCCACAACCACCTCCACAATACACTAGAGAACCCATCAACCAGGCTCTGGCCATGGACTGTAACCTCCAAATCAAGCCTCCTTAGAATGCCTGGGGCTGAGAAAGAAAGAATTCTGGAATGTGTGGTTTGTTCACATTTTTAATTGAGATATATCAATCTGGTTTTTGTAAAAGCAAAAAAGAAAAAAGAAAAAAACCTCTTTTAATGCCTTTGCCTATAGCAGGTGATATAGGAAGGTTTGAAGAGAGGGAGAAAGGGACAGAAAAAAAGGAAAATAGAAGAAAAGGAAAGATGTAATGTATGGGGATTAACATAAGAATAAAAAAAAAAGAAGAAGAAGAAAAGGAAAGAGGGAAGAGTTTAAAGCCAACAGCATCACTTTGGAACTCCCCTGGAGAATTTTTTTTTTTTTTAAGATTTTATTTCTTTATTTGACAGAGAGAGACAGCAAGAGAGGGAACACAAGCTGGGGGAGTGGGAGAGGGAGAAGCAGTCTTCCCACCGAGCAGGGAGCCCAATGTGGGGCTCGATCCCAGAACCCTAGTATCATGACCCGAGCCGAAGACAGATGCTTAACAACTGAGCCACCCAGGTGCCCCTGGAATTTTTTTTTTTTTTTTTAAGATTTATTTTAGAGGGTGAGGAGGGGGAGAGGGAGAGAGAGAAACCGTCTTAGGCAGATTCCGTGCTGAGCATGGAGCCTCACGTGGGGCTCGATCTCATGACCCTGAGATCATGACCTGAGCCGAAACCAAGAGTCCAACGCTTAACCAATTGTGCTACGCAGGCACCCCAGGGCATTGGAATTTTTTTTTTTTCTTGCCTGACTTGTTTATTTCTTCGGATTCTTATGCAGCCAGACACTTGGCATTCACTGCCCACTCTCCCCCTAATTCTTTAATTTCCCCAAAGCCAAGTTACCAGTGCTTCCCACGGCCATCACCTCACCCCCAATGAACTCCACTATTTCTTTGACCGAGAGAGACACAGCGAGAGAGGGAACACAAGCAGGGGGAGCAGGAGAGGGAGAAGCAGGCTTCCCGTGGAGCAGGGAGCCCGATGTGGGGCTCGATCCCGGGACCCTGGGATCATGACCTGAGCTGAAGGCAGACGCTTAACGACTGAGCCACCCAGGCACCCCACGTGATGTCGTTTGATTGGACAATTTAGTTCACTTACATTTAAAGTAATTATTAACAAGTATGTAATTATTTTCACTTTGTTAATTGTTTTCTGGCTATTTTTTTGTAGTTCCTCTCTATTCCTTTCTTTTTCTCTTGCTCTCTTCCCTTGTGGTTTATAACTTTTTTTAGTGTTATATTTAGATTATTTTCTCATTTCCTTCTGTGTATTTACTTACCATAACTTTTTGCTTTGTGGTTACTATGAAGTTTACATGTAACACCCTATGTATATAATTGTTTAAGTTGATAAATTTGAATATATATATACTAAATTTGAATATATATATACTTATATTTGAATTTTTACTGCCTCTTTTCTGTTTTTTTTTTTTTTAAGATTTTATTTATTTGACAGAGAGAGACACAGCGAGAGAGGGAACACAAGCAGGGGGAGTGGGAGAGGGAGAAGCAGGCTCCCCGCCGAGCAGGGAGCCCGATGCGGGGCTCGATCCCAGGACCCTGGGGTCATGACCTGAGCCGAAGGCAGATGCTTAAGGGCTGAGCCACCAGGCGCCCCTCCCCAGGAGAATTTAGGCAGAAGCATGGAAATGTCCAAGTCGGTCCATCCAGGGAGTGTGGTGGCAATGCCATCTTCCTAAGCTTAGGAGGCCTAAAGTTCATTCCCCAGTGGAGCTACTTCAGGGTTAAGGATGCCCTACCATTCATCTGAAGGAAGGAAATCCAGGGTTTGGCCGCCACTTAACCTGTCTCTGTCTCAGTGCCCTCAAAAAAAAAAGAACAGAAGGGAGGATTCGGGCCCATTTTAACTCTAAGTTCAAATGTTCTTTCAAAAGAAACAAGAAAGGCATCACAGATACGTCTCTAGTAATGCTACAAGACAGGAACCACAATAACAACAAATGGTAAGCGTTTGAGTGGGAGCCCGCCCAGGTGGGAGGCTGGCGGTGAGGACCCTGAGCTTCCCCGGAGGGGGAGGGGAGAGGAGCTTGCAGGGGTCAAGCAGCATGCCCTGCTCCCGAAACAGCTCACACCAGCAGCCCTCTGCCCAGCCAGTTAGTTCTTATGCCCGCAACTGTGGCCAATCGCCCTTCTTCTTTCATGAGGATGAAAAAGTGAATGATTCTTTTTTGGAGGGGAGCAAAGAATTTGACTCTGAAATTTACAGCTGAGGGGAACTTATGAAATGACTGAGTCCAGCCCCTTTAATAGCAAATTTCCATAAAATTAAATCTGTAAATGAAACACTCGACACACAAGAAGGAGTTGTGGAAGAGGAAACAATGTTAAGAGAGTGAGGATTCTTGACCATCTTGGATGATGTGTTGGCTATTTACTGCTACACAACAAATTACCCCCAACCTTAGAATCTTCATGCCTTAAAGCGACAATACTTATCACCTCCCAGTTTCTCTCAGCTGGGAGTCCAGGCTTCCAGAAATCCACATCCTAGCTGTGTCCCTTTCTCAGGGTTTTTACGAGGCTGCATCTAGTCGTCAGGCGAGGCTGCAGTCTTATCTGAAGGCTTGACTACAGAAGGATCTGCCTCAAAGCTCCCTTACGCGGTTTTGGCAGGTTCACTTCCTCACTGGTTGTTGGACTAAGGGCCTCTATTCAGGAGGCTACCCTTAGTTCCTTGCCATCCATATGGCAGCTTGCTTTATCAGAATGAGCAAGCAGAAAAATCAAGAGAGGCTGTCAGCGTGCTAGTGAGATGGAAGTCCCAATCTTTTGTGACCTAGTCATGGAAGTGATAGCCCATCACCTTTGTGCATTCCATTCCTTAGAAGCAAGTCACCAGGTCCAACCCACACTTAAGAGGAAGGCATTATGTGAAGGAGTGAAAACCAAGAGGCAAAATTACTGGGAACCTTGTCAGAAGCTGCCTGCAATAGATGTATATTGAAGGTAAGGAGAGGGTCAGAACCACGGAAATGTAAAATTTTCTGATTGAAATGAAAAGGCCCTGTAAATCTAGCCATCCACATGCTGCCTGAATTCCTGATATAGCTCCCTGCCACGTAGCTTATCATTCTACATCTGCACAATGATATGGTTAGAAATGGTGTCCTTGTTATACTTGGGCTAGAAACCACCTGCTTGTAACATTCATCCATGACCATGCAGGCACCCTATAACCTGTGAGAATGGTGGAAAGGTCAGAAGATTCAATTCTCTTTAAATGATGGTCAACTGCTTTGATGAAAGCTGTAAAGTAAATTGTAACTAAAGATTTGGTCTAGGGGTTCATGGGTGGCTCACAGTGAAGTGTCCAATTCTCGCTCTCAGCTCAGGTCTTGATCTCAGGGTTGTGAGTTCAAACCCTGCATTGGGCTCCACACTGGGTGTGGATCCTACCTAAAAAATTTTTTTTGGGGGGGTCTAATTTTTAAAGTAACCTGAAACATGTAGAATGTTTCTGCAACTATTAGTTTACATATTTTGACACATAAAACACAAAAGATCTCTCTAAGCAGCTGGGCGAATCAGCAAGTTTTAAAGAAAAAACGTAGCAGGAGTATCTAGTATTACCAAAACGAAAGTCAGCAGTTAAAAATTCCAGATCCGGGGCGCCTGGGTGGCTTAGTCGTTAAGCATCTGTCTTCGGCTCGGGTCATGGTCCCCGAGGTCCTGGGATCGAGCCCCACATCGGGCTCCCTGCTCTGTGGTAAGCCTGCTTCTCCCTCTCCCACTCCCCCTGGTTGTGTTCCCTCTCTCACTGTGTCTCTCTCTGTCAAATAAATAAATAAAATCTTTTAAAATAAATAAATAAATAAAATAAAAATAAAAATTCCAGATCCAAGAAAATAAACAGATCAAACAAAAGAGAAGGCCCTAGTGCTTTATTCTTTTGACATTAGGGATATTTTTCATATGGAATTCTGAATTTGGCAAGAAATGTGAACTGTGGCCTCATGACTGGCAGGCAGCACTTCAGAGTTCACGGCATGCTCTCTGGGAAACTGCTGTAGCCAAGGTTGTGGCCTCATGCTTGACCACTCACTTATTCACAAGACCTAGCTCAAATGGCTATTTGTAAAAGTCAACTCTAGTCTCAAAAGACAATTCAGGTTATCAGAAAGCAATAAAGCTAGAATGGAAAGAAAATGGGAGGGAGGGAAGAAAGGAGGGAGGGAGGGAAGTCGGGGGGAAGGAGGGAAGGAGGGAGGGAGGGAAGGAAGAGGGGGGAAGGAAGGAGGGAAGGGGGAAGGAAGTCGTTGGGGGGAGGGAAAGAAGGGGGAGGGAAGGAAGGAAGGAGGGAGGGAAGGAAGGAAGGAAGGAAGGAAGGAAGGAAGGAAGGAAGGAAGGAAGGAAGGAAGGAAAGAAGATTCTTTCCCTCGAATACTACCCCCCCCCTTATTTTGGGTGATTACGAGATTATAGGAACACACATAAGGCCTACCTTGAGGACCACAGAACTATTTTGGGTGGGTGCTTATTGCAAAACAAATCTCACTAATTAACTCATAAAACAGCTGAGATGAAAAGATTTTAGGGAACATGTGGTCTCACCCCTAATTTTGAAGTTGAGGAAATTGGGTTCCAAAGAGGCTAAGTAATTCACCAAGTAGTTGGGGAAGAATGACACTTAGATCAGCTATTCCCACTAGGGGTCCAATATGGAACAGCTAAAGCCAACTTGGTAATGTCTCCATCTCAGCGGAACAGTTCGTCCTTTGCCTTTTGCACCCACTCCAGCCAGAGGTATTTCTCAACATTGTGTTTATGCAAACTCTTGAGCAGCACAAACTCCTGAACTAAGAGACTCTCCACTCTGTGGTGCAATTGAGGGCAAAGGCTAGGATGGCTTGGCCCTGCTCCAAACTCCTTCCCCAGAGGCCTGAGGTGACAGAAAGAACACATGTATTTTTCCTAGTTAGGTGAGTAAAGACCAGGCTCATCAAGTAGGGGTGAAAGTTACTTTAGTCTTGAAGTAAACAAAAAGCATTCAAACTGGAGGGGAGCATTGCCTGTTCCCACTCGGTATGAGCCTTTACAACTGGCCATCTGTCAGGGAACAGGTGAGATAGGGGAGAAACCTGAAAAGATATTTGGTATCTATGCTAGCAGAGACGGAAGTAATTCATCTGCTTTTCTTTTCCTTTCTTTCTTTCAAGCTTCAGAGGTAGTTAAGTGATTCATCAGTTGCAATGTCTGCTTTTCTATATACTTTCTCTCAGCCCAAATTAAACTTAGCTTTTATTTTTTATTATTATTTTTTAAATTTCAGAGTAAGCACCCTGCTTTTTCCCAAATGCTCCACTCTTTGTTGTCATTGTTGTTTTAAGATTTATCTGTATGTTTTAGAGAGAGAGAGCACAGGGGGAAGGGGCAGAGGGAAAGGGAGAGGGAAAATCTTAAGCAGACTCTGCACTGAGCGTGGAGCCTGACTTGGCGCTCGATCCCAGGACCCTCAAGATCATGACCTGAGCCGAAACCAAGAGTTGGTTGCTCATCCAGCTGAGTCACTCAGGTGCCCCTGAAACTTAGCTTTTAATTCCCAATACAAGATAAACAACATGGAAGTACAAGACAGCACATTGAAAAGACCCAAAAGTCAAAGGAGGAAAGGAGTATCCAGAGATGTTTCATGAAATTGGAAGCTAAGAGATAAGGAAAGGAAAAAATGGAGTGTGAAGAAAGCAACATTTTGAAAGTTGAGCAGGGATTTTTATTAGAAATAGTGTTTATTGGACTCCCCTCCATTAAAATATTGCCCATGGAAGTAAGATTAACATCTTTTCCTGTTGGTTCCCGGAATATGAAAAGAGGAGGGGAAAGGAAGACAGGGGAGGAAGAAGAGAGAAAAGGACTTGGGTGAGAACGGGGGAAATCCCCAAGAAAGCTGGGGGCAGGTCCATGTTTTTGTTTCTCTGCTCTCCCTTCCAATTCTATAATTAGCACAAGAAAGGATTCCAAGCCCTACTTTGGCTTATCTCTTATATTCCTAAATCCATGCCTGTTCCTCAAGTATTTAGTTAGGAAGGAAAGCTGTGAGCTAGTGAAATCTGCTCCCCCAGCACCTCTGGAATTTTCCCCACAGAAATAGGACACAATAAAGGCAGACAATGCAAGCATTCACTCTAGGACAGCCAGGGATGCCTTTGTTCTGGTGAACCAGAATGAAGCTTAACTAAATATGTTGGGGAGCAACTTCAGCAAAGTGGAAGGAGAAAATGATTTTCCACTTCTAGATATGGTAAAATGCATTAGCAATAGCTTTGGGGTCTAAGGAAATCCAATGAGTTACAAATGATCAGTTTCATCGTGGCCTAATGAGATCACAGTTGAAGTATGTTAATGACGATTAAAGTTAATGAAAAAGGTGCCTACACAGTTTGTTTTCTTTAAAGTTGTGTCTTTTTTTAGCCCCACTTTATTGAGGTGTGATTGACATATAAAAAGCTGTGCATATTTAATGCATACCACTCAATGAGTTCAGGAGTCAAATCGCGTCCTTTTGGGATCATATGGTAATTAGAATTGCTTAAACATTTTAAACATACAGAAATGCTACATGGATCACTTAAAAGGCAGTGCATGATAATACTAAGTGTCTAAATTTAGCTGTTTTGTAAAGAGCTATCTTTGGTTAGAAGGAGTTTAAAAGACACTAAGTAGGAGTACTCTAGCCAGAAATGATAGCGAGATTGATACAGTGGCGGTGGGCTGAAGGAGAGGGGAGGCAGGCAGGAGAGATGGTCTGGAGGTACAACCAGATAGGACTTGGAGAACAAGCAGATCTAGTGGGGAGCATGAAAGGAGAGCCAAAGAAGGCTCCCAGGTCCCCAGGTTAGATGGCCAGTATGACATGTGGCATCAGTCACTGAGCTGGCAGGTGAAAGAGAAGGATTGCATGTCACCATGCAGCCGGTCCACACGCTCTAACCAAGTGCCTGCAGAGGGCCTTGTGTTCTCCAGATTGCTGCCAGATTGCTGCCAGACTGCTGCCAGGTTATGGACAACTCACTCATCCTGGCTGCCTATCTTCACAGTTACAAAATGAAACTTGGTTTTTGGGGTTTTTTAAATGTTATGTTAATCACCATACAGTACATCATTAGTTTTTGATTCATTGTTCCATGATTCATTGTTTGCGTATAACACCCAGTGTGCCATTCAATACGAAGCTTGTTTTAATACTCTAATACCATCATTGTGTTTAACAGTTGGTGTAGATATTCAGAAGCCCTCAGATAATGTGCACATTTAATGAATTTTATGAGTAGACAAATTAAATAAAATGAACTCTGTGAAGCCAAGAATTACGCCTTTTGGATATCCCATTTGGTAATCCCTCACTTTGCATACTTTGCCACTTAACAAGCATGCTGGGAGAGCAGTCCTTGGTGGTGTGAGAGGGGGGAGGGATGACAGGGGGGACAGGAGACTAAGGAGGTGGCAAGGAACAGAGGGACACAGCCATAGCGACATCCTCCTCTGCCTTGTCTCCAGTCTTGTACCCTTCCTTTCTATAATCCAATAATTTAAAAATGGTTTCCCAAGTGTATAATTTTTGCTTCATTCAATGACAGAATAGACCCTCAACGTTCGAATTTACTGAGAAGGAAAACAATTAAAATACCATTTGGAAACTTTTTAAAAAAACATACATAACAAAGAAACTGAGAAAAAAACTCAGTCAAAGGTTATTAGAGAAAGTAAAAAATAATTTTAAGGAATTTACTGTTTATGCCAATCAGTCTGGTTGGTTTCTTGTCCTTCTCTCTTTCCCATTTCTTTCTCCCTCTCAAAGTGTGGGTTTCATTGACAAACTTGGGAAAAGAGGTATAGGGGGAACATTCATTATTTAGAAACCCACTGCTGCCCAAGGGCTGCTTTGAGTCATAACTAATATACTTCAGCTGGCAGCCTGTAACAATGATTTCTCTTTCTGTGAACTCTTGAGAAACACACACTCCTGAGCTAAAAGACACTCCACTCACTTTGCAGTTGGATGCAGCAGATGTGTGATGAGAGACAGGCCATTGTCTCCAACATCAAAGGAATGAATGAAGATATTGGTTTGAGAAGCCAATGATTTCCCAAGAAGCCTCTACAGCCTGACCTCACTGGGCCTTCACAGGCACTGAATGTGAAGATGAAGGGATCTGGGCTGGGTCATATTTTCTCAGAGGCCCTGCTCAAAACTTGGCCCGGAATGATCAAAG